GGTTCCTCGCGGAGCCTAGTTGTTGGGTTCCCCGAGGAACTTGTTTCTGGGTTCTTCGAGGAACCCAATTGTTGGGTTCCTCGGAACCCATTTCTGGGTTCTTCAAAGAACCCAGTTTTTGGGTTCCGCCAAAAACCAGATATAGGTTCCTCCAACCCTCTTTTTTGTTTCATTTTTTTTTTTAAATTTTGAATGTATATATCTTTCATAAAGGAGCCGAATGAAACCAAAATTTCATATTCATATGTGTTCGATATTTGGGTTTGATATCTAAGTTTGAAATTACAGATAATAGGTTGATGTTGTTGTGTTCATGTTACTATAAGTAAAGTGAATGATCTGTTTTGTAGAGAAGAAATTAATGTTTAAAGTATTGATAAATTATTTTAATTAGTAATTAATTTTTATTTTTAACAACGAAAATACTTTTATGAATTGTGGATTATATCTTGACCAATCTCATATATAAAAGATTAATTATAAATGAAAAACAAGAATTTTGAAAGAAGGAAGATGATAGCTAGAGAGGGAACTAGAAACATTAATTAGGGTTTGTGGGAGAGTCATTAAGTGAGTCATTAAAGCCCACATAAGCATCTTTACAGGGTGGAATGTCCATGTCGGATGTTGCTATTAAGATAACGTGCCACACCAGCAAAATTTAACAGAAGGACCAAAAAGGAGGCAGATTTTAAAATTTAGAGACTAAAAGGGGGATTTTTTTGGTATAGGGACCAAAAAAGGGCCTTTCCCTATAGTAGAGGGACCAAAAAGAGTATTTTACCTAATTTTTTCATTTTTTGTAAATTTGATACTAATTTATTGCTAATTTGCAGTAATTTCGTTTCAGATACACCCAAACCATACAACATAATCTTTTGTTTTTTGTTTTCCTTTCTTTTTCTCTTATGGAACTGCAAAAGACAAAAAAGAAAAAAATTAAGATGCTTTGTTAATTAAAATATAAGAAAAAGAAAAATTAAGGTATCCTGATATTGAAAGTGGTAGGATGTTTAATAATAAT